ACTCTACCAGTTGTGTTCGAGTAGAGAGCTTGAATAAGGTTAATGTACTTCTTTGGTACTCCTTTCAGTGACAAACACTGCCGTAGAACCTTATGATCAACAGAGTCGAATGCTGCCTTAAGGTCGAGAAATACTACGATTGTGGGGCGTCTAAACGTGTGTCTGTGTTCTAGAACCTGACGTAGTGTGAATATTTGGTCTGAACAACCACGTCCAGGTCGAAAACCGACCTGATTTTTTCTAGTTTGCTGTTCACGAGCTTTGGTTAGGCGTCGAAGTATTATTGAAGCTAATATTTTAGATACTATATTAGTCAAACTGATTCCTCTGTGATTGTCACAAGAGGACTTTTGTCCTTTCTTAAAAACTGGCACAATCAGTGATTGTGACCAGTCAGATGGGATTATGTCCAGTTCCCGAATTCTACCTAAGACCTCGGTTAATCTCACTGATAATACTGAACCATCATCCTTAAAAATCTCAGGAGTAAACCTGTAGTTTTCAATAAGACTACAGCTGAGATCAACCCCCTAGGAAAGTATCCTCCATAAAATCGCTTCATCGAAAAAAAACAACTTCAAAACTTGGAATCATCAACTAACTTTAGATAGACCACCATTGGAAGCATTAGACGGGTATTTCATCTTAATATGAGACTTCTCAACTTTGAGCATTATGACCTCTCCAACAGGAATCGAACTCAATACATTCAGTCTAGCTTACAAAACCCATTCTAGGACAAACACAACTATCCAATTCTTCCTGATTTTCAATGATGATATCCAGAGAAGGACTATAAAAATTATTTATCCCATTCATTCCGTTCTATAAATAAATACATAAACATATAATGTGTCATATTTACACTAGCATATAAGCATAACCTTAAGGTCAAAGATTGGTTTGATTGATTGTTTAATTTCAGACTATAGACAATTTGGTCTAGACAATAATTAAACTAATATTATTGGAAAATGATTATGACCCATAGAACTAACCTGTTTACAACTAAACTGAACATTATTTGTCATAATAATCTGAGAAAAAAAATTCATTTATTGTGAAAAGAAACACATTGATTGACATCATTGGTAAACACATAACCAGTACAGTTTATTGTTGTTATTGTTGTCGTTGTTGTATGTAACCTAGTTAGGCATAAACAGTATTGTAGATTTATTGGGTAAGAAGATCATTTCAATCATTTGAACTATGTGTTAATCTACTAGTTGAATTCATAAGTCAATTGAAGCTAGATCACTATGGAAAACCTGAAAGAGTCCCATACTAGGACGAAACAGCCGTCCAATGGTTCCAGGTTTCCCATGATGATCTAGCTTCAATTAATTCATGAATTCAACTATTAAGTTAGTATAATATCCACAAAACCCCCCTCTCTGATTATATATTAATTGTTGTGTTCAAGGAAACTTGATGATAATACACCGCAAAACAATTGTAAATAGTGCCATCTGTTGTGAAATTTAATACAAAAAAGAAAGAAAAGATCAATTCTAAGCGCGTTAAAATAAAGTAAGATACATTCATACTGATTGATGTTTATTCATGATTACAAAAGTTGTGAAAATATTCAAATTCTATAGTGGAATTTTGTTCTCTGAGCTGGATGGTTTGGTCATGGAGCTTCTTCTGAACGACATCATCAGACTTCTACCTGAAGTTTATGCTGATGTCCTTCAGAAGAGTAATGAAAGCTTCACGATCAAACCATCCAGCTCAGAGAACAAAACTCCATCCAAATCATACACCATTCAAATTCTATATTAGTAGTATCAGTATCATTATTATGCAGTGCAAAAGTATGATTAGATAATACTCACAATTGTGTAGTTGGTTTAGACTAATTCCATTTGAAGAAAGTTTATGTAATCAAACGAAATCGACATCAAAAAGAACTCAAACAATCAACATACAGGTTGTAATGTCATACCAGCACAAGGGAAGGAATTAAAACCGCGGTAGGAACGGTAGTAGGAAAAGACAAAATACTGACGAACACAATCCGTAAAGGCATCTATGAAGATCTATTGGAACTTACGAGCTAAAATAAGACAAAGTAAATTCATCTATGACACTCAGATTAGTTTCGAGTTATCTCATCCAACGGACCTCAACCAGGCAATCAGATTAGAAGATTCTAGGCTATAACCGTGACACATTAAAAAGTCATAAACTAAATCAAGACAATTGTTCAGTGCTTTGTTATTTTCCATTGTATTTCAGCTGTGTCATTTCACAATAAAGTTCAGTTTCTAAAGTGTACATCTCCAAGACTTCAACATTTCAGAGTCTGAGTTATGCTAAAATTACTAGAAGTAATGTGGGCAATTATTTCGCATAAATGTTAGAAATCAATGACACTTCATCTTAGTTTTAATCATCTTAATAGTCTATACATGTTGTGACTATTATAAAACATCAAGATCTTAAGTTAGGTCACTGATTTAAGTATATGGTAGTGAATATAAACTTCTGAAGACGGGTTTTTAAATGTATCCTTAATTTGTGAAATTTCCAATTTAAATTCATGAAAAACTGCATAATAGAAAGATTTAGAAGTAAAAAGTATCATTCAATGAAATGGTTTGTGGAGATTTCATTAGTTTAGGGCGGGACAATTTTCACTACACACTTGTTATAGAACCACTGATTTCAGAAGACATGAAGGTTTTATGTGGTATAAAACTATCAAGTTTGTATACCGATAAAGCATACAAGACTCAGTATGCTTTTCCCACGAATTCACCCGTTCTATCTGTAGTATTAGGATGAAAAAGACAATATGTAGATGGAAATACTCCTGTCTAGTTTAGGCAGGCTGACCTTAGTGTGCTCAGTTATTCAAAATTACGTTACACATCACCCATGAACGACTAAGTTTATAAACGGTTATGTTTTGACACATTTTCCTGACTTTATATGGCAGAGTTATTCCACTAATTAATCGATTTCTTGACATTTTACGTCCTCTGATCACATTAATGAGTATAAAATAGGAATTAATAAAACAAGATCAAATACTCGCTCATGACCTGAACGTACATCTCGAGAGCAATTGTAATAACGACACAAATTGGAAGAATCATGAGAAGCACATACAAAACAAGTGAAGGAAGATATCCAAATAAAATATTTAATGTATGGTTTTTACATTTTGCGAAGGCATTGTGTAATTTTGCATGAAATAGTAAATTGATTTTCCCCAACCGAGTTCTCATTCACTACAAAGCTACTGACTAGGATTAGCCCCATATTTTTTAGATTTATAAAACATAAGAGGTGTTAAATAGGATCCAGAAACACTTATGCTTTGCTTTGATATGACTGAGGGAAAATAAATGCTAGGGTTATGTTTGGGCCTGTATGATATGGTCTGAATATTGATTATTTCCCCTAGATTGTCCATCTAGTACCAATAAGATGATAATAGTGAGATAACAGCTGAGATCAATATTTAGCAACTATTGATCTAGAAAACAGTTCTACAGAGCTCGATCGTCCGATGACTAGAACAGAGGACAACATAGAAACTAGGTAATGTACAATCGTGTATTTCATTCTTATGACTCAAAAGTCAATACAGAGTGAAATTTTCACCACACATCAATATAATTTAAAAAATTACAATACAGGCATAACTACACAATGAAAGAGAACAATGTGATAGATATGTAATTAATTAACAAAAACTTTAACACAACAACAGAGTGTGTTGTTAAACGACAGCTTAAAAGGAAGGTAATACAACGATACAATAATCCAAGTCTATATTAATTAGATAGAAAAAAGTTAAATAATAACATCAGGTAGAACATTTCTAAAGTTGCAGTTTAGCTTAGTATTTTCCTGATTATAGCAGTTCTCCACAAAATTTTAATCTATCACCATACACCTTTCACTTGTTCATTCCGATTAGTTCTTTTTGGAAGAGGGGAGTGAAACCATAGAAGCTTACTCCACTACAAAAATTCATTTCTGAAAACACAAGGAAGATTTATGTGGGCCATAATAAGTGACCGATGTTTTTATACTAACACATCATTTTTAATGTACTTATACATCGCTTTATCACAGCTCCGTGAACTTCAACCAAGAACTTTACATTTCGTGATACAATGCACACTGATAGTCAATGAATTCATGAACTGACACTATTCCTTGGTATAGCCATCTCCTAACCTTTTGCTAACCTACTCTTATGCCCTGGTACGGCCGAGAGTCCGCTCTCACACAGCCACGTATAAAGCCTCTGACAGGGAAGTCCTACTCATTGCCTTCTCGTGGCGGCGGTGTTGTTTACGAAATTGAGAGGACAAAAAGCAGATGTCCGGAACTTTAACCGGGTTGATGGACATGGAGAGTCCACCTAGGGGAGTTGGAAAACCCTCATTCCAAACCAATGGTGCACATGGGTTCCAGTATCCTGCGGGAACAAATGGCGTATGAACCAATCGTTGGTTACCGGCTACCATGGGATTGCATCTCCTTACGATGCTCCAATGCCTTGTGGACCAGATCTTTAGGTCGAAGGCTCCAGCTACTTCGGCATGGGCACCCCGGCAGTATCACAGCCCACACACAAATCAAGTGACTTGTGTAGTGCATATATATCTGATACCACCTTGTATCAGTATTTGTGTTCAAATAAATAAATAATAAACTCTTATGCTTAGTAGAATTATGCTAGAGTGAGAAGAGTGATTAGGTTTACTTAGAAAACCCGTTACAAACACCTCATTTAACAATCTATCGTTTTGTAATACACTACATAAAGATTTATAACCAAAATACGCAAAAATGTTTTTGCCAGGTTCCCCTATCCACTTCACCATGAGTAATAGTAGTAGTTGTTGTAATAGTACCCTATTTCATACTTAACAATATTTCACAAAATCACAATCATCATTTGAACAACAAACCATATCCATTTCAATCCATCATCAAAGAACAAACAATAATAAATAATAACATTATGTTTTATATAAAATTGACTTTTATTTATAAAGTAAGCATTAAAACAAGAATGATAGAGATAAATGAGTTAATAATCTTAAATGACATATAGGATAGAGTATAATCATATTGTATTGTAACTAGTTTATCATGTAATAAGGATATAGATAGAAGAGATAAAAACAAAACAAAAAAAACACACTGTTATGTAATTATTATAATTAGATTTTTAAGAGAAGAAGAATAAGAAATTATAATGGATCATGAATTTATGGTTTTAGTGATCTAATACACAAAAAGTATACAATATGTTCATGAATTGTGTATACACAACATAAAGAAGGATTATGAGAATAGAGAATTAATCTTTTGAATTATGATAAATTACATTCAGATGTAACATTTCATAGAAGAATTATAAGTAGAATGAAATGATAAACAGTAATAGGAAGAAGAAGAAGAAGAAGAGGAGGAAGTCTAACATAACACTAAAGTAGTGAATGTATGAGAAAAAAGAATAATGAACACCTATAGTTATTTCATAGTGAAGAGTAACAATAAACAAAGATGAATTCATAATTACATATATATACACATATATATATGTTTAATGAATATCACATAATTGCTTAGTTTGGAGAAGAAAAACCACCTAGTTAATGCGTAAACAATACTATGAATATTACTAATATGAGTAGTGTTGTTAGTAATATGATAAATTTTTTTTTCAATAGTATATATAAATCACTCGGAATAAGGATTAGAAATGATACATATTTATAATATAATAAGTTTATCAAATGGATAAGTGATTTCTTGTGAAAATCACATATAAAACTATGAAGATCATGGTTAAATAATAATAATAGAGATTGAAGTGAAATCGAATACATAGACACATATACATACACACTTTTAGATTAAATCCATTTGATTCTTTATTAACATTAACATCGTAAATTCACTTATTCACATGAATTGATATCATCTGATCACTTATGATAATAAAGAAACAAAGAAAGAAAACTAGAAACTGTGGTTATTTTTAAACCAGTTTCAAATGATAAGTATCAATTCTCAAGAAAAGTAGCAATAACGGTAAAATGTATGTAGACATGAAAGAATGATTGAACTCAAAACGGTACAGTACATCGTTTTGGTTTTTTATACCAATACTATATCATCATAAGATGAAGATCAGGGAGTTGTAGTAATGAGTGGTATGGGAGAATATGAGAAAAAAAAAAGACTGAAATGAAACAAAAATTCTTTCTTGACTAAATAGAATAAAAGACCCATTCCTGTTACTAACCAACTAATATATGATTACAAATTAATAATCCACTGTTAAATAAAAAGGAACGAGAATGTTGAAACTATTAAAAAATAGATATATATATATAACCCAATTGGGATTGTATTTGTCACACTTTAAAATCAGTCAGTAACAACGTAGAACTTCGTACGTACGTACATCAGTTTGAGTTGTCACACTTTAAAATATACTGTATTAGAAACGAAGTAAATGAAGTAAAGATAAAAAGAGAATAATTCTCATTAATAATTGTCCATCGGTTGTTCTAGTTCCAAGAAACAATCTTGATGATCAATTGAATAATGATTAATTGATTCTTCTGATATTGTTCTCTTTATTATAGGCAATAATGGTGAAGATAATGATGAATGAGATGAGAGATCATTTAATTCATTAATGGATTGTTGTTGATAATTATTCGTAAATGATTTGGCTAGTCGAATTAATGTTTGAGAAGCATAGCTATTACCATAAGCAACTTCTTGCCAATCATCCTTTGAAAGATTTAAAAGAAATATGTATGCATTAGATAAGTATTACTAATTAGCAATTTCTTTTTTTTATCAAACAAACAAACGAATATAAGCACAGATGGATAGTGTCTAGGAGTAGAATCCAGTTTGATGCGCGTCTCTTCCTGTTTGGAACTCGTCAGCTGGATGTACTTGCATTCCAGAGTTGATGTTCACTCTGGGGACTCGAACCAAGTACTGTTCGCTTCAAACGCCATCGTGTTATCCCCTTAGCTACTGAGTCCTGATAGCCACCTGCTTGTGTAATGGAGTGATGTTTTAAATTCACTTGGTGTTATTTGCTTCTATCTCCCCATTCATATTTAGGACTGCAATTTATCAGTTTCTTGTTGGTTTATCAGCATCCTGTGCGGACTGTCTCGATATTGCCTTAGGTCACAAGCCAACAAGAGACTGATCAATTTCAGTCCTAAATAACAAAGGGAAGATACAAGTAAACAGCACTAAGTGAATTTAAAACAAACGATTAGTTTCAAAATAAATTAGATGAATTATTATCAAACACGTATGATATCGTCATTTCATCTTATTTGTGTGTGGGCTGTGATACTGCCAGGGTGCCCAAACCGAAGTTATGTGAATCAGTTATAAATAATATAAGACTTGCGGGATAAATATGTATGAGGATCAAGATGTCATACTAGAATAAAATAGGCAAAAGGAGATAGATAGGATAGACAGACAAACATCATTAACATAGAGAATGGCGCAGACGTGCGTTGGCCCATGCTCCTATCTATACCTGATTAGCACGATGACATGAAAATAATAAGTGACCAAAATGACGTAGTAGTAATGGAAAAAAAACGCACCATGACTCCTACCCTAACATGGTGGTTCGGCTTGCATATCGTGATGATCCAATTGAGCTATAGTGGCTGGAACGCTTGTTTCTTGTAAAGCAACGGTAAGACCAAAAACAGAAAGTTCATAATCCGAGAGTGAAATCGTACTATTGGACTATACAGGGGTGAGACATCAGTAAGGTGTCTTTCGGATAACCAGCATCTACAACGATGCTGCCTTCTCACAACACAAGAAAGGGGTCAGAGAAGGTTAATCTTAAAATGTCACAACTTGCCTTACGCCATTGATTTCAATCTCCGACGGTAAGGACTTCTGAAATACAAAGTTAACACATCGAAAACTTGCAACAAAAAGATCATGTGTGATCGACCTCAAGCAGTCATGCTCCTTGGTCACTAAGACCAACGCTAGCCCATTTTCTTTTCGAAGTCTCCCAAGAAATATCCTTCCATTGTGTGGGCAACCGGAAGGCGACAATTCCCCTATACGTCTAACAGCGTATGAGATCACCTCGTTCATAAACAAGCTCTATAAATTGACAGGAAACATGACAATGAAATAAATGTAATACTAATGGCTGTCTCTAGTCAGCCAGTCATGAAATTAATAGTTTCTGGGATAGTAGAAAATGTGTTTCCAGACAATATATCTCGACAATGTTGTTGTGATAATCAAACTAAACAATTGCACTGCAACCATGTATGTTCAGATTTAACTTTTTCTATTATATAAACTTACTTCATTAGCAATTTGTACAATACGTCGAAGTGTTAAATGAGGTTGTTTTCTAGCAGGAAATTTTAACGGTTTTAATGGAGGATTAAAGTTGATATCATTATTAACTGTTTGAGAATATGATTTATAAGGATATAGATTATTATGATAATTCATTATTGTATCTTTAGAAATTGAAAAGTTAAGAGAATGATATGGATTCATGTTGAATTCATTCTCATTGAATAATCTGTTACTATTATTAATATTATTATTCGCAGTAAAATAAGAAAGATGAGATTTTTGAGATGTTGACAATGAAGATGTTGCTGTTGTTGACGTAGAAGTGGTTGGTAAAAGTGCTCGATTCCAAACAGTTGCTTTGGCTGTAAGAATAGCTATACATTTGGCTTCATCACAGGAATTATATGATGTTGCTGAAGAGGATAACGTTGAGAATGTTTTCTCGGACAAATTATTACGATTAGTACTACTTACTGTAAACGATGAAGAAAGTGACGTTGAAGGAAGAGAAGTATTATTTGGAATATTATCAAACAACCTGGTACAGAGTGGTCTCTGAAGCATTGAAATATGAATAAAAAGTAATACAGTAACACACAATATATCAGTAAATATGTAATGTATAAAAACTGGGTTAATAAACTAAGTCACAATTGAACTACGCAGCTTCACCATGATTCTATTAATGAGGATAAACAGACAATATGAAAGTCTATTTAAGCATATAAATTATTGTATTAAATAAATTGGAGTGAACATAATCCACATGCTGATCTACTACCACATGGAGTTCAACTGTTAATGTTAGTGAACTGTAAAATTCTTTACAATAACCACCAATAAATGATCGACAGTAATATTAGTTAACTGAAATTAATCCCTAAACGTATATAACAAGAGGCAGATTGAAGTTTCTTTACAGACATGAAGTAAACAATAGCATTGTGCCTGATTACGGTTTTAAATGAACAAATTGATATTTATCCATACATAGATAATCTACAACCGATTGTTTCCCTTCAACGATCCCGATAATTAGGTCTTACAAATGTACACCAGAAAACAAATGAAATGTTAAGTTCTTTTGGATCATACTCGTAGAAACTTAAGGTTAAGGATCACACTACCTCAACCCTAGCCTCGAAAAATCAGCCAGTAGACCTTTTACGTTGATGAGAACACTGAATATGTACAGTCTTTCAATGGTTTCTGAATACTGATTCATTCTCCGAATGATTTTCGATAAACCAAATTCGAGAAAATCGTCTATGCACACGGTTTTAGTAAGACACTTAGGTTTAAAAGTTAGATCAAGTCATCCTATTTACCAGACTCACTTCTAAAAGATTACTTATTGTTGTCGAAATGCGAAACGGTTAGGCAGAAACTGACGCTAGGATGTTAAAAAGATAAACTAAAATAAAGCAGCAAAAGTGTTTAACTTGTAAGAATTCCAGGTACTAATTTTTGACAATAGGAATGGAGACAAAATACATTTATTGTCACAGGGTGAAAGTAATTTGAAAGCGATTAAGATTGGAATATTTTAGTTTTTGTAAACAAAGGTTTCTATGAATTCAGTGTATTTGTTTGAAAAGACCATGCATACCATCATAAAGTAAGACAAAAACAAAAAGTTGACATCGCACATATATAAAACTTACGCGTAACGGTGCACCATCTCCTCTTATCTGTGAACAACGTGGAATTCTTGAACCAATTGGAGTTTTATCTAAATCTGTTGTTTTATGATTTAAACTAGTAACAGGATAACGACCAGCAGAACCTAAAACAGCTGGTGGACTAGTTAAATGAAATGATAATTGATCAGCTTCACTTAATGCTTTTGTAGGTGTTTGTATAACAAAATGATTATTATTAGTATTATTACTATTGTTATCATCAGTTATCAGAACACTTAATGATCCATTTGTTGTCTGATGAATTGATTTTAATGGAGAGGTTGTTTTTGATGAACAATTATTATTATTGTTATTATGATTATTATAAAAATTAAATGAAAACGAAGAAGTAGGAGAATTAATGAGATCGTCATTTATACTGGATTCAAGTAATTTAGGTGAATTTGATTTGATAAGTAATGATGATGATGATGGTAGGCTTAATTGAGATTTATCAGGACTAGATAATAATGGACCATTTTTAATTAAATCCACTGGAGTCGATGTAGATAATAACGAATTGTGAGAACTGTAGATAAGGGAACGATAAGTAGGGTAGAGATGAAAGAAATAATCATACTTTAAATATAATATAATTACATAGCTAATAGGACATAAAAATATCAGAATGTCCACACTACTTGTGTTTGACTTTGTGAAATAACTCTGTCTATGATAGAATACCTTAAGGAAAAAATGTCTCAGAATCAATGTTAACAACAAAGAATTTTGTATATTACTTTCTTTGCTTCAAATCTTCAGTTTGAATATCAAATAAGTGTTTATCGTCATCTTATATTTTCCATTCATTTTGAAGTATCTTCTCTATGTTGTGTTTAGCACTACAATTATTAATAACATATAGACCATTTTGTTTATTTCTAGTTAATTTCCTCTCTGGCTATGTCTATGTAAAATATGATAACAAGCATAAGCTGACTGTATATCTATACCAGGTTTAATAGAACCTACAAATAACTAATCAACATGATCCAAATACCAATCAAGCCTTACATTTACACTAGGACGAATTACCAGTGAAGATTTGTAACTTCATTGGTATTAAACTAATCCAGTTGATGGTTCGAATTTCACGAAAAACCCTTTTCTCTTATACATAGGTTATTAGCGTTGGTAATTACTAACTCAAATTGTTTTTGTTGTTCCAATTATAAAAAAGCACTTCGGAGGGAGTTTGTTCATTTGAAAGATAGTTTACATGATAGTTTAACTTTAGCTAAACAATCATTACAAACCAAAGAATGCTGACAAGATATTTCATTTTAATATAATCTTCAGAAGCATTCCTGAAATTCTAGTGAGAAGCTATGAATGGTAGAGTTAACAGTCATACAGTTATTACTGGTGGTGGTAAATGATAGTTGTGCAGACGGAATAAATTGAAAAATGTGGACTACCGGATAGACCCGGTATCATGAAGTTCGACTCAAGACAAGGTCAAAGATGTGCACTGCTGAGAAGCCCTATATGAAGATGAAACAACTAACCCTTTAAGGTTTTAAACGGTCGCCTAACCCGTAGTATAAGACCATCTTCAATTGTATTTTCTAAAAATTTAAATTTTTGTTCATCTATTTAACTTAATCCGATTATTTCAAATTGAACATAGATGAAATATTTGTCAGAGAATCCTGAAAAAAAAAACGGATACAAGAGCATTTTTATTTACCTGATGGAAGTCGTCACAACCGAATACCTCAGAGATTGCTGAGAATTACTTCCACCAGACTGGACACTGTTCGACAAACCAGATTCACTAAACTAATTTGTGTACACATCAAAATAAAAAAATAATTTGAAGATGAGTGTACTCAAACATTTTAGATAAACATCTATGAAACAAGTCTTTATTCAAAGAAAAATAAGGAGATAGGTGCTTAATGTGATGATCCATCAATGAGATAATGACTTGATGGTTAAATTCCATCTAATTTTTTCAAAGATCGAGGGTTCGAAAACTTTGAATTTCATGGGGCTTCATTGATTTCGGTCTAGATAATCGGGTGACATAACTACCGGCTCTTTAACACAAACTATATGGCTTAAAGCATTGTGTATATGCGTTACGTATGCCCGAGCACAGACTGCCCCGATAAGTGTTGTTTTATGGTGTAGGAGTAGGTTGGAAGAAAGCTAGGGGTGACCAGACCCAAATATGGCACAAATCCATGAAGCCACTAATAATAGGACTGAGCCATGCTGGTAGGTGTATACTACCTGGTTGGGATCCGCGAGACAATAGCAACCGATGGTTAGAGATCTTGAATGACATGGTTCGAAATCATTTGCAATGCCGCAGGTGCATCTACTCTTTGTGTTCTCCCAAATTCTAATCTTCTGAATTTTTCATGTCCCTTTCTTTTTTTCTCTTTCCAAATTTATTTCACTGGATTGTACCCCTTGAATGATATCTTCAAACCCTAATCTTTTCGACTACTGGTTATACTTTTACTACCTCTACCACTATGGGATTTGAATCGATAACTGCATCTCTGTTCTAATGTGGTATGGCAAATCGAACTAATATACGTACGTACGAAGTTCTACGTTGTTGCTGACCGACTGTACATTATTACACACTTAGTTTAACGGAGTCAAACGTTTTACAATCAATGACTGTTTACCATTTGTTCAATTTTGTAAAGAACATTTTAATGCTCATTAAAGAGATAGGATAAACATATATACAGATTCTCATCAAGATTATAATGCTGACAATTATCTTACAATTTTTTTTATCAATAATGAACTAGTTTTTAAACCGACTCTCCCCACAAATGAGTAATACTGACATAAGATGGATAAAGTGGGATTAGTAAACTGGTTGAAAACTTCGTGAATCTCAATCAACTAAGGTGGTTGATATATGTGTTAAATATACCAGCTAATACCAATTGTGATTTTTTTAAGATGGTTAGTGTACAGGAGTAGGTCGGAAGAAGAGTGGGGAGGAAGTAAAATGATATCCGTTTTAAAAAAATCACTAAACATTGTTTTGAGATGTATTAAGAGATACAAACAATCAAGCTGACGAACAAATAAAAATAATAGTGAATGACAATTGAATTTCCTACACTATACGGCTGTAAATTGGTAACAATATCGTAGATTGTTCCCCTATTTCATTTGTTCCTTTCTAATTTCATTTATGCTTGATTTTCCCAATAGTTTGGTACTATTTTCATTGTTCATAATGATTTCTTGCACCTATATATATTAATGTAAAGTGTTGCAACCTAGCTTGACACATATGCTAAGTTGTTTATGATTGAGTTTCGTGCTCAAGCACTTAACCAGTAGGTTCTGGGTTCGAATCTCACGGGGGGGGGTCGTGGGTGAGCACTGTTGAGGAGTCCCACAATAGGGCGAAACGGCTGTTCAGTGCTTCCAGGTTTCCCATGGTGGTCTAGCTTCAACTGACTCATGATCTTAACCATTGAAATTACTATAATATCCACAAAACCCATTTGAATGAATCCACAATATTTATTTGTACTTTAAGATGTTATTTCCCTCTACAGGACAACATCACACACTATAAGCTAAGCAAAATTGTTAAGGTCAAAGTGTTTTTAGCTTAAGGCTTTGTTAGTGAAAAATAGGTCAGAAAAACATTGCAAATTTGGCGATTACGCAATCATTGATTCAGAAAACATGCTTAAAAACACAATAAGAAAGTCTTATTCCCTATGCTAATCGTTTAAGTGTGATTCAACTTTAACTATTTATATTGATGGTGGTATTCATGCCGAATATCGATAAATGTTTACCTATTAAGTATACATGATACTTGGATACATTTGAGCAGTAATTTGTTCGAATTACAAATAAACAATTTGTCGAAGAAAAAAAGACCAATACGGAAAGTAACATTGCTTAGTGTTGTTCTACATAAAATTACTGATCTAGTAATGATCTGTTAGCAATTCTTTTGCAATTAAAGTTTGCTGGAAGCTAACAACGTGTTTGACAATATATAACGGTGTTTTAGTGTTGAGAATTAAAAGATATACGTCTTTTTTTAAAACCCTAGTTACGGTTTATCAAGTAGATAAGCCTTACACAACAGGTATCAGTCACTTCGGTTAGTGACTAGTGCGTTATAATATTGATTAGACAGACAGAAGTTTGAAGTAGTTACAAACTAAGTAGTAACGTTTAGGGAGTGATCTACATATCTTTACCCCCCTTAATTTATCAAATTGGTGCTCCCTTTACAAAGTTAAATAAAAATAAAATTGATTTTGTTAATACAATGAATTCATTGTATATCATTGTTTTCGCCTGACAATTACACAATCTAAGCTGATAATTTTAACTAGGTCTAACGTTGTGTAAGCATTATGTAAGCATTTACTTCTCTTATCAACTATTTGCCTTATCTGAAGCAATTAATATTATAATTTAAAATCAATATTTTCTCCATCACTTACACCTGAATCATGATGATGAATAGGTTGGGTCAGACGAATTTTCCAATTTCCATTTGTTGTAGAATCGTAATTCGACTTTAATGAAGATAATGGGATTAGATAAGTGGGTCGAGCATTGTTCTTACTAGTTATTGATTGATCATTTGAACTTGTGTTGTTGTGAGTACTGTTATTTTTAGGACTATTTGACCAGGATAATCTGGGAAGGAAATGAAGAAAAAACAATTGTGAATATTGTCAGGGTTGTCAAGATTATCAAGCTTCATTGAAATCATGAACCGGCCGAAGTTAAATAACCACTGAAAACTTGGAAACACTGAACGCTCATTCCTTCTTACTACGGGGAGCCCCTCAGAAGTGCGCATCCACGACCCCACAACTGTAATCGAACAGAAGACCTTCGGTCTCGTGCGTGAACGCCTAACTTCCAAACCACTGAACCACAATCCAATGGAGACCAAAGGTTTTGGATTTGATCTTCTGTTGAGTCGTCGTGAATACACACTCCTGAGGAGTCCCATACTATGGAGAAACGGCAATTTAGTGTTTCCGAATTTCCAATGGTTGTATAACATTGATCGGTACGTGATTTTGATGAAATTATGAGTATGTTAAGGGATTATGTAAATTAAGCATGTACAATGATGACAATTCCACCCGAACCAATGACAGACGACAGATAGACATCCTCAACATAGAGACTGGCAGAGATGTTCTTTAACCTAAGTTATCATATCAGGTCAGCACAACGAGATGAAAATAATGGGACCGAAATACTGTAAAAGCATTGATTATAAGATTAAACATTGGGAAAACGTTTTGAAAAGACAGATTAGAAAGATATGTATGAAGGGACTCTGAGATTGAAGTCTAAGAAAAAGATAAAGTGATTGAGTCTGTACTAAGTTTTAAACCACTGATCGCGGTCATCACATGGATCCCTATCACGTAGACTGGATCTACCAATATTGTTCAGACTAGAAGTCAATAACTTCATGGAATGATGCCACCTTTTGGTTTGGCTGCGCCAGACATCTAACCAACATACTTATAAGAACCGCTTGTCGAGGTAGGCGGTGGTTGGATATATGTAAAGCATGTCATAACCACCTTCGTCGATCAGGATTTATGACCACATAAACCGTTTAGCTGAATCCATAATAATCAACCATTCGACGAATTTCTAATTACTATTATTGTCCGGCTTTTGATAATAAGACTTCTGGTAGTTTTGATCTTTTTCCACCGCACACGTGATTAGTCAAGAACGTACATAATAACCGAATTGATAGTAAAATATATTAATATAATCATAAGAATCTGTAACAAACCTACAGACGGGCATCCGATTAAAACAAAAACACTATATCGTTCGGTTTTGTCGTCTACACAATTTAATGTCTCGGGAAATCTTAATCATTTTGTAATCAAACAGTTGGATTGTTAGGCGTAATATGAAATTACGATTTAACCTTGGCGTACTTTAAAAATGTATCATATGATTTTACTTGTAGAATAATGCTTCAACAAGTAAACAGATTTTAGACAAGAATATTTTATACGTAGGGATTTATAATCGCCCGAAATGAGACTAGGATTATTGCTCTATTCCCTTATACAACAGAGGATGTTTAGAAAAGAAAAAGTATTTATGAGAGAATATCGAGACTCTATAAGTAGTGAAAGAAAAAAGGTGAGTGAATATCCATTAATGTGATCGAACCTAGGTCATGTCACCACACGTCTTCAACCACTGATCGCTATTATCGTGTGGTATGCTAACGACATTATTAAATTATAAAGCATGATAGATTAATGAATCGATTGAAAAGTCAGTCAGTAGGAATGTACAACTTCGTACATACGTATATTAGTTCGAGTTGCCATACCACATTAGAACAGAGATGTAGTTATCGATTTAAATCCCATAGTGGTAGAGGTAGTAAAAGTATTAGGGTTTGAAGATGTTATTCAAGGTGTATAATCCAGTGAAATAAATTTGGAAAGAGAAAAAAAGAAAGGAACATGAAGAAGACTAGAATTTAGGAGAACACAAAAAGTGGATGCACCTGCGCACACACCAGACCACAAGGGCTGATGAGACTTCCAAGATAAGTAAAGCGATCGACACATTCAACTACGTCACTCCCTATAGTCGATTAGAAATGCAATATTAAGAAACCCATTTATTTTATGTTGTGATCATCAAAACAAGAACAGTATCTCAGCAAATAATATAAAATTAGCTTACATATGAGTAGTAACTAGACAGAAATATATTTTTTTATCAGTGAACTACACTTTTGATACAACCTGATTATTCCCAGTCAGGTAATTGAAGCATGGTTTAAACCCACAGCTAAAAATTTAAAAGTTGAGTGCTTTAATAAGTAAGCCATCACTTCGTTTTGAAGTACTAGACTGTAAGTTCAAACCATGACTTAATTAGTTGTGGGGATTTGTGTGAATTCCTTGGGTTACATTTATGATGAGTGCAAATAAGAACTTGTTTCAACAAGATAAACTTACAGCGAATTACGAAACAGTAAACTAGAGAGTGGACGATTTTCTTGATCATAATTGGGCCAATATTGGAGAACAACTTTTTCATATCGTTGTCTTACATCTACAGCAGTTCGTTTTTTATGCGAACTACCACTAGTAGTTAGGCGATTAGCTATTAACTCCCAATTGGATCCATATGTTAAATACAACTGGAGGAGAGTTGAGTCTTCATCTTTTGTCCATGTTGAATTTTGATCTGAATTGAGAATTGTTTGTGGTATAGCTCTATGTTGTATTAGAGTTGTATAGGTTTTACTGGATCCTAACATTTGAGGACGTAAATGCTTCAAATATCTAAAAAAAGTGAGTGATCCGAGTGAATTCGTTTTATAAAGATTTCAAATAGATGTCAGTTTTAAATGTAAAACTCATATGTCAAGGTTTTAGAGAAAAAATATAAGCGGATTGACTTTGGATAGTCATGTTATACCTCAATTGGTTAATTTAAAACAACTTTCTCAGGTTGACCGATTGTAGTATATATTAACTGTACCTTACACAGAATATTTTCACTACCAATATAGTTCATGCTTGGAACTAAGTTAGCCTTGAACCATATTTACACTCAATAGGTTGGGAGGCAGACTTAATCTATTACTTAAGTTAACAAGTAAAACGCTTACATTACTATACTACATTAATTGATTTGAAGGAGTTAGGGAGAAGCATAAAACAACAAACGAGATTTTAAGTACATGTGAATCCATGAATTACGATGTGAACCACAGAGGAAACCGTTTACCACAATTTCACTTAATTGGTTAACTTAAATAGCTTCGAATCAATATATAAGTTGTCGAAGTATTTTGTTAGCATATCATATAATACTGGAGTCTTATCCAATGAATAAAGCTTTTTATCGTCATGTAGTGAATAATGGTTAAAATCAGATAGTCAGGTACAAAATCAGAATCGTTTTGGGAATTGAATTTTTTAAAACCTACACTGTAGAATACCAAGCCTGTAATATGGATGGTGGTTGTTTGAAATTTATCGCTTAGTTGGCATTTGTGCTGATGCCAAAACGTACTTGCTCACAGATACTTCCCTCCCCCTCCGTATCTTAGTGGATACTAATCATTGCACAAGTAGAAGCCTAACGTTGTCATGAAAGACAAAGCAATTAATCGAGTTAAGAGGTTATTCTGTAACTGGAATCATTCGTCAGCTTGCACAAGATTCATAAACAAAAAGTATTAAGTAATCATAGTCGTTTATGATATAAAGTTGGAACTTGAAAATGTGGCCCAAAATGGAAGTAGTGTGACTAAATCATGAATTAAATTTATGAACTTTAGTATATTCAGAACCATAAACACACCGTAAGGCAAATTTAATTTCTGGAGAAATTTTATTTAGACGAAACGGGAAAACAATAATTTACCATCATTTACCTTTCTGAGCATTGAAAAGCTGACTTGCCAAGTTTTTTTCCAATCAGATTCCAACGATTTTCACCCAGTCGAGAGACATGATCAAGTAGTCTGCAGTCTTCTAGGTTTGTCCAACTTCCAACACAATCTTCAAATCTTTCCTTGTGCGTTTCATGAAAACCAGTCGTAAGACTTGTTGAACCACTCCCAATAGTAGTATTACTGTCTTTCCAATTAACTCGATGCGGTAGTTCATCTAACATAACTAAAATGACAGAAAATAACTTATTAAGAAAACTTGGATAACTTCATGCTAAAGTAAAAAAGTAAACTGAAAATACTACTAGCTACCAAAACTCATAATAAAAATATGAAGTGAAACATTAAATAACTTTTTATTGAACATGAAAGAGAAAATAAGGCAACTGATCTTTTAAATTCTAATAAAAAAAACTACTTATATTATCGAGAATGAGAAAGGATTTACGTACATATATGTATTAGACTAATCACATTTAAGTAACGATAGTAAGTTCAACTCTGAAGTAATATGATGACAGTAACAGGCTAACAAATAGAACCCAGTAATAAATTAGTAGGTTACTGACAACATATGGGGAACTAATCAATAAATAGGTTGGAACAAGTGTAATCGAACGAACTAAATACATTGACAAATGTTAGGCAAACAAAAAATAAAGAAACTAGCAAACATTCGAAGGTGCAAATCACATACCGTACCTACGGACACTGATTGCCAACTGATTAAGTGCGGATTGTATGCCTTGAGCATTGTCGCACAGTAAGACAATATCATCCGCATACTCAAGGTCTAGAAGTCTTTCTCCAGGCAACAGATCCACAGCGCCATTACCTACATCCATCAGAGCTGTTTCCAGAATGTCATCGATGGCAAAGTTGAAGAGGAATGGTGAGATTGGGCAACCTTGTCTAACCCCACTGCTCGAATGGAACAATGGAGAGAGGTGGTTGTATGCCCTCACTCTGCCTGAGGTGTTTGTATATAGGGCTTTTAGGATGTTAATAAACTTCTCAGGCACACCCTTCTTCAATAGACAATCCCAGAGAACAGTCCTACCCAACGAATCGAAGGCAGCCCTGACGTCAAGAAACACTACGATTGTTGGCCTTTGATAAGTATGGCGGTGTTCTAACATTTGACGGAGGGTGAAGATATGATCAATACATCCTCGCGTATATAGCCTCTGCCAGGGAAGTCCTACTCACTGCCTTCCCGCACCACGGATGTTGTTTACGAAAATGAGGGGACGAAAAGCGAATGTCTGGCGCTTTAACCGGATCACAAACCAATGGTGCACATGGGCTCCAGTATCCTGCGGGAACAAGTGGCGTATGAACCAATTGTTGGTCACCGGCTTCCACGGGACTGCATCTCCTGATGATGCTCCACTGCCTTGTGGATCAGACCTTTAGGTCAAAGGCTCGAGGTGTGGCCCCCTAAGAAAACCACCTGCTTCGGTCTGGGCACCCGGGCAGTATCACAGCCCTCACACATATCGAATGAGATTTGTGTGGCGCATATGTATTTAGGTGTCTTCGAAACATTGCTCGTATATCATGGGACCACCGAGTAAGTAACACAGTTGTTAGGAAACGGGTACTAGGTAAGGATGGCAAATCAATTGATGAAGTGGTGAAACTTCATCAGTTGAGATGGCTGGGACACGTGTTACGTATGCCCAACGACCGACTGCCTCGACGTGCGATGTTCAGTGGTATAGGAGTAGATTGGAAGAAAGCTAGGGGCGGTCAGACCAAAACATGGCACAAGTCCATGAAGTCACTGACAAGTGGTCTGAGTCATGTTGATAGGTATAGACTACCTGGTTGGGGACCGCGAGATGATAGCAACCGATGGTTAGAGACCCTGAATGACATGGCTCAAAATCGTTTGCAATGGCGCAGGTGCATCCACTCTTTGTGTTCTCCCAAATTCTAATCTTTTGAATTCGTCATGTCCCTTTTTTCCTCTTTCCAAATTTATTTCACTGAATTATACTCTTTAAATAACATCTCCAAACCCTAATCTTCCCGATCATTGCTTACACTCTTGCTACCTCTACCACTACGGGATTTGAATCGACAACTGCATCTCTGTGTTAAGGTGGTGTGGCAACTCGAACTGATGTACGTACGTACGAAGTTCTACGTTGTTACTGACTGACTGACCTCTTTGTACCAATATCTGTGTTGAAATAAATAATAAAAACGAAACCCAGCCTGCTCCTCGCGAGTCAATCTTTCCCGAGTTTTGAACAACCTACGAAGTATGACGGAAGCCAATAGCTTGGACGCAATCGGAAGTAGACTTATCCCCCGATAGTTGTTACAGGAACGACGTGAACCCTTTTTAAAGATAGGGACAACTATCGACTCATTCCATGACGTTGGTACACTCTCTAACACCCAAACCTTTGTAAACAACGTCGTCAGTTCCTTAGTCAGAAAGTCATCACCATCATCAAAAAGAGCCGGAGGTAAGTCATCTGGGCCAGGTGGTTTGTAGCGCTTCAAGAGTTGGAGTTCCTTGCGGACTTCCACCTCATTTGATGGATCAATCGTCACCGGCCATGGAGGACAGGACAGTCTGACCGATGTTGCCGGAGCAGCAGGCCAGTTGAACTGCCCTTCGAAAAATTCTGCCCATCGTCCAAGACGTCGATGGATGTTAGTGATTGGCATCCCGTCATCCTCGCAGATTGTTTCACTCACACCAGACTTCTTGCTGCCAGTGGCTCGGATGAGTTGGAAGAGCGCGGTTCGATACTTACTTGCAACAGAAGTTGCAACCAGCTTGCTAATATCAATCCGTTGATGGCGGTCACTTCGTTGGCCACTGAAAAGTAAGGCAAGATTGGCGCAGACCAAAGCATGGTCAGAGTCCAGATAGGTACTCCAGAAGGAGTGGCAGTCTAATACACAACCACGCCAGTGGTAGCTGATCGCGATGTGATCAATCTGAGTCCAGGCCTGAGATGCAGAGGGAAGACGCCAGGTGGTACATCGGTGATGACTGTGCCGAAAATTAGTGCTAGCCAGAAACAGGTTGTGGTCTGTGCAAAGTTGCAGTAGACGGTCCCCGTTATCTGACCTGCGACCAACGAGTCCCCATTGGCCACCTAAACGACTCTCTTCTGTGCCTAGACGCCCGACCTGCGCATTCAAGTCTCCGGCTAGTACTACAATATCTGTCGAACGAACTTTCTGGAGAAGAACAGATAACTGGTGGTAAAACTCATCCTTGATTGCATCCGGGATGCAATCTGTCGGGGCATAGGCGGAGATGACGAAAAGACATCGTTTCTCACATCGATTTCTTCTCACTTTGATGGAACTTTCTAATCTAACAGCACATAACCGACTGTTAATGGGGATCCAATCGACTAGTGCTGCCTCAGCTCTAGCGCTTAGTGCGACACCAACGCCAACAAGACCAGACGAAGATGCCACAGGATCCCCGGATAAGCGCACATAGAACGAGCTTTTCGAAGCGACAGATGGAGATCGAAATTGTAGTACTTCGCCAGAGTCTTGAATACGGGTCTCGGATAGACAGCAAACATCGATATTAAGACTTTCCAAAGACATAGCCAGCCCTATCTGTTGTCCGACCTGCACTAGTGTGCGAATGTTGAAGGCAGCCAGTTTGAATGGTGCACATGGTTTCAGAAAAACTGCTTCAGTACTCATATTCGGTGGTAACATACAATTTTCAACCGGACAGTGACTCGAGAACGTTTAGATAGAGTCGAATTTTCACCAAAGACGAGCTGCTGTATAAACCGAAAAATAAGTATAGACGGAGTAGGAATAAAAGAGGGTGAATAATGATGTAAATAATAATAATTTGAATCATTCGATTGTTATTCGGAGCGAGAAATGTAGTTTCCATAGATATAGAGAGTTCATCATTTGCATGTGGGCTGTGATACTGCCCGGATGCCCAGACCGAAGCAGGTCTTCAAACGGAGCAAAACTAATAAGCCAAAGGAATATGAAGAATTGATGCATCGACGTCAGTAACACCTGTTCTTGGTCGTAATTCAAAGTCTTCAATGTCATAACTATTTCGTGAACCCAAATCAAAACATCTGTAACTCCCGACTTAGTCTACACTAACAATGAATGACCTTGTGAACAAATACTGTTTTAATCTGATCCTCTTTTAATTTTCCATTGGCTAGCTTATAGCAGCACCATAAGTGGCGGCTGGTAGATTTAGCGTGTTGGGTTTACCTTATTAGCTAGTTCATCATTTCCACTTACTAGTTTTCACTTCTGCATTACCTATACAATTATCTTTGAGCAATGCTTTGAAGCAACTTATCGAATACATGCAACCTGTTCATACCAGATGCTTTAAAAAGTCAATACTTATCCGCGTGAAGTGTCGTAGGGCAAACTACTATGCAATATACCAACCCTTTGAAAAGTAGATATTTCACCTGTGGCACAGGGGATGTTTAGTGAAATTTAAACAAAGTTCCCGAACTGAGATTTTTACATCCACCAACCCGATAGCTATCGTTTTATTATGAATCAAAGTTGACTTTGTCGATACAGACTGACTTACAATCTGTGACTAAACTAAATACTTGAACCTACCAGTATTGAAATAACATTTTGCATTATGAAGAGAAAAGAATTTTAAACCTTTAAGTAATATCACTCGAGGTGCTTAAGAGCCAGTACTTTGTCAGCGTTGCAACTGAATAACTGTTGAGTTCCTGAAATAAATGGATCTACAAGCAATAGATTATTCCCTGAGAAATTAAATAACAAAACAACCATTTAAGGGCAGATCTGAAGAGGCCGGATTTACAGTATTACAAACAAATGAGTTCAATATGGGCCACATGGACTATGGTTACCTATATTCCAGATGCGGTCTCACGAAATTTGGGTATAATACTCTAAATGTTTCTTCGTCCAAGTACTGGTAAGACCTACGAACAGCTCATAATGCTCCAAAGCCTATGGCAGCAGCAGCCTTGCAGTTGCTCGTGTTTCGAAGTCGCTGCTTATTATGACTCATAAATCTTTATAGTCCATTACCTTGGGTTACACAAGTTGTTGCATCACCACACTCCTGTTAAAATTCACTTCTAGTGACCACCCATTAATCCATGCCACCAACGAATTGAGATCATTCTGTAATATTATTTTATCTGACATAGTGTGTATAGGTCTCGAAACCTTTATCATCAGTGACGGATGACTTCGCTACAGTTGAAAACTCATTTAAAGAAAGTAATAAGGAAGACCAAAGATTATACGTTTAGGAACCTCTATTTTTACAGGTCCCCACACTGAGAACTCCATTTACCCTTACCTGCTTTCTCCTATCGTCGACAAAGTCACTAAGCCAGCCTATGATTTTATAATGGATTCCGAAACTTTCCACTTTTTAGGATCTGAATGGAAGGCCTTATCAAAGGCTTTACTTAGATATATGAAAATCACATCTACAAAGATTCTTCGACCTTTTGCTACGTCCCAATCTCCGCTTGCAACTAGCAGATTTGTCAAGCAAAGGCCTTTGCGAAAATCTTGTTGTTCCCCATATAAAAAATTATGCGCTTCCAGATGGTTTATAACAGTCATCCGAATAATCTTTCCCATTAGTTTGACAACTGTACTGGTTAGACTAACGGGTCGATAGTGACTAAATCACTTCTCCCCGCCTAAGAACAGAACACATCCGTACACAATAATTGATTTTAAAGACCAATTAGTACTAAAATAGAAGTCAAGACACTTATTCAAATCAATATCGCATAAATAATATGTCATTACAACAACCCCTTTGTTTTACCCCCACTTTACACTTCTTATTGGAAGTAGTGACGATATTGATACAAACAAACAAACATCGATTCCCACATTACATTTTCCATAAGACTTCTGAACTGATACGAAAATGTTAATCCCAGAAAATATTTAATACATCTAATAGTTTTTAGACGGTCTTCCAATATTTGATGCCCACTATCTATATAACGAGCTGGTATAAATGTGTAGGACCAGTGAAATGTCTCTGGGTCCAAGCCAAATCATTCGGCTATCGGTTCACTGAATGTCGAACGGTTCACCGATTCTTTTCACGTTCAATGACAGCCAACACACATCAAATAATCGCACGCCATGGACTTGTTTAGGCGGTGGTGGTTGCACATTATTCTTTGTACCTACTCCTATTAATATATTTCTGTAATAACGTCCTTTGTGTTGTACGGTCATTAAATCAGCCATAGAATCTGAAAACGACAATAGGGTAACCCATGTTAGGTTTTGACTGTATAAAGTGACTTCGCAGTAAACTGTTTCGTTACACTTGTAGCGGTAAATAAATCCCTAAACTAAATAGCTCTGTAGGTTTTCGACATTGGATGCTGACCATATGTTTTAGTGGACTCATCTAGCTGAAGGCGCTCGGTCATGCATCCGCACCATATCACGTGTGGTAACGCTGTGCTCTACATCTACTGCAATCACTAGCCAGATTAGATCAGAGAATTCCGATATATTGGTTATCGCCAAATACACTCTTCCGATCTCCTCGACTCTGTCTTTTGATTTTTCTCAGTGGGAACAAAGTATATTAGAAGGTGTTACTGATAGAAGCGTTGTCAAACACTGAATACCTGTATCATCCTCACACTATCACCGTCTATCTCAAGTAAGCCTTCAATCAGTTGACACAAATGATCTACGTTAGTGATCTACAAATCTACGCATCACTTTGCACTCCCAGCATATTTTTTGAAAACCGCTGGCTATCATGATTTCAGGGAGGAAGTTGGTTGAATTAGGAAATTCTACTATTGCGGATATATGGTTGTTTCATGTGTCAATTAAGTTAAATAATTAGTAACGGGTAGATATGAACAAACTGAAGTGTGTAAGTAAAAAGGAGGTGCTGGTTGTTGAAACTGAGATAGGAACAAGCTGATAGGACGTGGTATTGATAGAAGCAAATAAGCTGTGAGACACACACCAGGTACAAATGGTGTAAAGATTTAGTAATAATCCATGGGTGAGTGTGCGTTCTTCCAGTATCCTCTTGAAGCTATTTATTATCAGGGCTGTGATCACTTTGAATTAGAGAGCATTCCAAAGAGGGATGTGCCCGAATTGTCCATCTTTGATGTACGGAGGTCGGCTCGAGGAGCTCAGGCTGGTTTTCTTCTATGAGTTTCGTGTAAGGGTGATGATGGGTAACTACCAAGTCAATTCTCACTCTCCTGCAGCTCACCAAGAATAATCCTAAGTGCCGAAGTTTATCTTCACAAGATTTGTTGATCAGACTTATCACCTACTTAGTAGCCATCTCTGTACTTAGGAGATTTATGTCACTTTTCATAAGGGGAACTTGTAGGGTCGGTGAAATGTCATTGAGCCTAGCCAAATCATCTGGCAGTTGTGTTACGGAATATCGAACAGATAATCGTTCTTTGCCAAGATCAAGGACGACTAACGCGCA